CCCCAAAAAAAAATTGATCAGGGCCGTTGAGATCATCTGATCCAACGGCTCCCAATCATTCTCATCTTTTAATTATACTAACCCTCATAACCTGTTTTTCATTTTCAGAACCCACCCCCCTTTCTCTCATCTCTCTCATTCCCTCTATAAACCGACGAACCCTAGAGCCCGCCGCCTTGATTTCCATCCCCATTAAACTCGGCGGCAAGGCCGCCGGTGACCTCAAAACTACCATAATCTGAACCATCGGGACAAGCCCTACCCAGCCATACTACTTTCACCCCATTTCAACAAAGCCCCGAGAAACCCTAGTTTCATCTAGGGTTCTATTTTTAGAGAAAACGAGTTCCTGGGTTGGGACGGTCCTTTACACGAAGTTCTCTAAAAGGGAAAAGATGATTCCCATGGTTTCCTTTGAGTCCGGCCGTGAAAACAGACCCAAGAGCTAAGTGTTCCGATTTCTGATTTCCTTTAGTTGTTTTGCATGTTTGTTTTGCGATTTTGTCTGGCTATTATATGTTATGTTTTTATTTACATTTTTTCTCTATTTCTATTCATCTTCTGAGACCTCTTTATTCGGTCAAGATTTTCTGTTTATTCTAGAGATTGTGTATGTCTATATGTATTTTAGGAATCATGCTGTTAATGTTTGTTATTTTTGCTTATTTATTTCTGTCCGAGAAAAAACCCTAAAATTTTTCATGAATTCTCTGTTGTTGTGTGACGACTAGTTGTTATAGATCATATATTTCGTAGTCGATTAGTTAAGAGTCGCCGATTAGTTGTGTGATTTTTGATGTGTCTTTCCACCCTGTTTTGAATTTCATATTTTGGCACTGGCCGGTGAATTTGAAATGTTGTATGAACTGATACACATATTAAATCTAGTTTGGTATAGCTGTCAGAGTTTATAGAATTAGGGCCTGAATTAGCATGTGTCTTGAACTAAAAGAATTAATTATAGCTGATAATTAAATGAGAAGTGTTAGAACTCTTTGAAGTGGACTGTCAGTCTAAGCTTAGGATGGGTTTTATTAGTTTTACAAGAGCCGGAGTGGAACCTGCCATTAGCAGGGCAGCCACTATCCCTTGCTCTCAGAATTTTAACTAATAGTTCCATACCTAGACAGTCCTAAGTGGGAATTCTAGAGAGAGAGCTTAAAAAAGAGTCTGAGTAATCTTTATAGAGTTTTTTATCAACTGAAAGAGAAAGGAGGGAGCTAGTCAATCAGTTTCTAAGAGCTTAAAAGTAAAGAAAGTCTTGAGCAACCTTTAGAGAGAACCTTCAGAGTTGATAGGAATGGAAGAACTGACTTGTTATAAAACATTCTCTGAAACTTCAGAGAATTGAGCACCTATACACACAACTGCCAATTGTCTAGTTCTATTTAAAGCTCAGCTCGAGAGAGTGTGAGGGGAGTACTGTTACACTTGAAATCTCAATCCTTTCTTGAATTATCCTATCCTCAGAACCACTTGTTTCTCTAGTCCAGTTTAGTTTTCTTCTGTGGTTATAGCAAACTCAATCTGCTCAGTGGCGTAGCTGCTTGCTGTATTGGTTTTCTTCCTGGGATTCATTGTTGGTATAGCCTAGCCTGGGTTTATACTGCTTGGCCTTCTGATCCTGCTATTGCTACTTGGTTTATTGCTCGGTTTCATCATCTATTCCTGGATTTTTCTTTCATTACTTGGCTGTCTGGTTGGATATTGGTATTTGGGTTTTACTGCTGGGTCTTCTTCTACTTCTAGGCTTCCTATTCTGCTGTGGAATATTTGCTGAGTTATTTGCTATTGTTGCCTGCTGTTTGACTGATTGCCTAATTGCTGCATGTTATCCTGATAATTGATGCTAGCTTTCTCTTCTTGAAATCCAGGTACACACTCATGCATGGCACTATGTAGACTCAAACTTGGAAAAGGAATAAAGGATTTTTAAAGTATGAAGACAATAGTTTTATTTTTAAGTTCTTTTTAGTTTTATGTCAGCTGTAACCATGTAGCATGAATGTCTAATGCATGTACCCTTCCTTATTATTGAACTCCCATGTAATTGATACAAAACAGCACTACAGTAGCCATACGAAACTGTTTCAGTTAATTAGTTTAAGTTTCCTTACCTAAGTGAATCCATGTAGTAACTCCAAATATTGTAGAACATTATAAATATATCTTTATATTTCAGTCCATTCACGTTTTGCATATTCAGCCTTTTCAATATTTAAGTTTACATGTCACGACCCCACAATCCCGGTCGCGATGGCGCCTGGCCGCAAAGCTAGGCAAGCCCGACCAACTACCCATAAGCCGCCTAAGAAGCATTAAATGAATAGTACAATACCAAAACACGAGAATTACCAGGAGAATATTTATACAACAACACCCTAGGAACTGGTGTCACAAGTCTGAGCCTCTAGACATAGATCAAAGTATTACAAAACAGTTTCCACATCTAGGAATACACTAATATACTGAAGTAAGGCCATAAAGAAAGGGAATCGATGGCTGCGGACGCCATGCAGCTACCTCAACACTCCTGACTGAAGCTGGCTACCCTCTGCTGGGTCTACGGTGCCTGGGACTGACCTGGATCTGCACACAAGGTGCAGGGAGTAATGGGTGAGTCTACCAACTCAGTGATTAATGAAAATAAAAGAGCTCTGAAAGTAAGAAATCGCCGTAAATACACAAGGTAAGCTAAATGCCATAGTGTTACCATAATCGAACCGCACAGCTAAACCAACCATAATAATAATATAAACATGAATGATGCAATACAGGTATGCTATGCAATGCACTACAAATGCTCCATACCGTCTCACCGGATCTAC